TCAGGCCTGGAGCAGCAGCTGGCACAGGGAAGCAGGCCTGGAGCAGCGGCTGGCCGGTGAAGCAGGCCTGGAGGAAACTCACCTTGGAGCAGCTGACAGCCGGTGCAGAAAGGATTAGAGACTTGGCACAGATGAGGGATGTTTCTTGGACTGGGGCCTGGCGCGGGCGGTCAGACTATGTCAAAGGCCCTGCAATGAGCTACTGCAATGTAATGTTTAGTTGTAATTTGTTATGTGACTGTAATGTCAATCCTTTATTTTTTATTTCTAACTTATTCTTTAAACACTGCAAAGTAATCCAACTACTTTTCATTTTTATTCTTCTTTTGTGTCTAAGATTTGTACCTAGTTACTTATATCTAAAATGGTGCCAAAAGAGACAACATTATAAAACTTTTTACTGTATCTCTGTACTTGACTACATGTGACAATAAAGGATATTCTATTCTATTGTAAAACAGTGATTTCTTTCCTTATTAAATTGCTATTTTACCTTGCATGTCCGCACAGGAAATAATACTTCTAACACTTTGCTTCAATTCTTGTACAATGATGCAGAGTGTCTTCAGTGTGAAGATGTACACAAAATGTAGCGTCAGACTGACTGTGCTATTTAAAGTACGATGGGCATACACAGGAAATGATACTGAGATGGTTTCTCGAACATGATCTACTTCACAAAAGCTACAGTCTGCAGTTAGACAATGAGTCCATTAGCCTTTTACTGCATGAATGCTTTCGTTGCTTGTGATAATCTGGTATGCTTGCCATCTGTTTAAACAGGCAAGGCTTTACACAACAGTTCATTGCTATATAGCAGCGGAGAAGTCTTACAATAATAAAATGCTCAGTAGATAAATTGCAATGAAAAAAATTCAGGCACTCGTATCGAGGATTCAGCTGTAATGCTTTTATATTGACTTTGTGTCACTGAACAACAGATTATCCTATCCTGACAAGAAAAGATATTAGTTTGCTTATGTTGAATTGGTTGATCTCAGTTGAGGTGGTGATGCATTTTCCTGACCTTGGGCCTAGAAAAATCATCAATACTTTATAACGAGCAAAGAACCAAACTGGCCTAGGTTCTTAGTTCCCACAAAGATACTGTCAGCAGGGACAAAAGCCACAAGATGTTGAAAAGCCAGCTAGTACACTAAACTCTTACCCCTATTTCTTCAAATGTCTCTATTTTCATAAAATATTAAACCGAATAACTTGCATACACTGTCATTTGCAGTTACATGTTATACAAGTTTCCCAAAATATATTGTCGCAAAGAAAATTATTGCTCGTTGATAATAAATTACAAAACTCTAGTTAGTTCCAGTTTTGTCAGACTTAGCACACATTTGCATTCTTAGTCATTAAGTTACGCATGGTTCCTAAGGCACACACATGAACATTTTCATTTGCTGTTCATCTGATAATCAGCTTATTTCTAGGGTAATGTTTACATGTATAAGATTATGAGGAGTATGGGCAGGTTGGATAGGAAGCAGTTGTTCTGTTAGTTGAAGTTTCAAGGACATATAATTTTAAGGTGAAGGGCAGGAGGCATAGAGGAAGGATTTGAGGGAAAACATTTTCACCCAGAGAGAGGTGGGCATCTGGAGTGCACTGCCTGGGAGGAAACCTCACAAACTTTAAAAAGTACTTGGATGGGCACTTGAAATGTTATAACATTGAAGGCAATGGGACACGTTCTGAAAAGTGAGATTAGTGTAGTTAGGTTAGTGCAGACTCAATGAGCCAAAGGGCCTCTTCTGTGCTGTATGACTCCATGCCACTATGTCTCTGTGCTCTTTCTTCAAGGAGTGTCGTTCCTCTGGTGAGTGCGATAGGGTTAGGTAACTGTTGTTGCTGATCAATTTCCATTGCTTGGGAACAGTGAACTTCTGAGACTGATGATGTATTCTGTGCAGCCAGTGAGATGTAGCTTTTTGCTGGAATGATACAGATTCTCTGGTCTTGTGCCCATGTCTGCAAATTGTGACATTGTATCTGGTTGTGCATATTCACCACATGCAATCTGATGACAACTGCTCAACACAGCTCTCAAGCTGCCACGTAGACTGATGAGAGCATTAAATATTTGAACTGTGACAGTCTCATCCATGCTTAGCTCTGGCAATAATGTGACAGTTTTCCCAAAGTGAAATTTTGCTTTCTACATTTTTTCAGCTTGCTTTGTTTTTTTTTGATCTGGGAAGAGTCATGTATCACGATTTTAGTCTTTGAACGAGATCTGTTTCTATGCCTTCAGTTAGATATATTTCTCCGCACAAGGTCTGTGCTGGATTTGCTTGATTTCTTTGTGATCCTTCTGAGATTTCTACTGCCATCTCAGCCTTTTCATTTGATTAAAGATAGCGCAGAGATGATTTTGTGGCGATGAATTATTCAATTCTTTCTGAAGCAGCTGAATTCTTCACTCCTGAATGAAAGATCATTGTCACTGATCACAATGTCTGGAATAACATTATGACAGTGGGTTTTCAGGAATTCTACAATCTCACCAGTGGTCATTGATGTCAGCAAGCCTAACTCCCAGTAGTCACAATAGCAGACAGATCAGTTCCTGTGAAGCTGAAGAGGTTTGCTCCAAATGTCACCCATACTCTGCCTGGGATGTCATGCATCACATTAACTCTTTAGCTTGATTACGTTGGTATTTATCATGAGCACTGCACTGGCTGTTGTGGCCTTTAATTTCCTTGCACAGCTTTGTCCAGAAGGCCACGTTACTTGCCTTCCTCAGACTCAATTCCTTTATGGTTTGCATGGATGCACATCAACACTTCTTTTGTCATCTCCTTAGGGCTCATTAATCCCTTTCCTTGTAGGTGTGTCCTTGGTGCCTTTAGCCATCCTTTCATCACTACATTCTGCAGCACTTGGAGAGTTGCATTTTGTCGCATAGTCAGCTTGATTTGAGTAATGAGTTTGTCTTTCAGTTTGAAAGACACTGCTTTGTTGGTGATTTCCAGAAAATGTTAAGCTTTTGCTTCTCATTGAAACAGAAGGATTTCACATTCTGTCATAGCACCCTCAAAGCTTTTCATAGGGAGGGAAGAAGGCAGAACAGTGGACATTGTTTATATGGATATCAGCAAGGTACTCGACAAGGTTCCGCATAGCAGACTGGTTAGCAAGGTTAGATCACATGGAATTTAGGGAGTGCTAGCCATTTGGATACAAAATTGGCTCGAAGGTAGTAGACAGAGGTTGGTGGTGGAGGGTTCTTTTTCGGACTGGAGACCTGTGACCAGTGGTGTGCCACAATGATCAGTACTGGGTTCACTACTTTTTGTCATTTATTTAAATGATTTGGGTGTGAATATAGGAGGAATGGTTTACTAAGTTTATAGATGACACCAAAATTGGTGGTGTAGTGAACAGTGAAGAAGTTTAAGCCAGAATACAATGGGAGCTTGATGAGATGGGCTAATGGGCTGAGGAGTGGCAGATGAAGTTTAATTTAAATAAATGTAACATGCTGTGTTTTGGTAAGGCGAATCAGGGCAGCATTTGTACATTTGATGGTCGGGCCCTAGGAAATGTTGCTAAACAAAGAGACCTTGGAGTGCAGGTTCATATTTCCTTGAATGTGGAACCACAGGCAGACAGGGTAGTGAAGAAGGCATTTGGTACACTTGCCTTAATTGGTCAAAGCATTGAATGTAGGAGTTGGGATGTCATGTTGCAGCTATTCAGGACATTGGTTCGGCCACTTTTTGGAATACTGGGTTCAATTCTGGTTTCCCTGCTGTAGAAAATATGCTGTAAAACTTGAAACGGTTCAGAAAAGATTTGCGAGGATGTTGCTGGGGTTGGAGGGTATGAACTATAGGGACAGGCTGAATAGGGTGGGGCTAGTTTTTCTGGAGCATTGGAGGTTGAGGACTGACCTTCTGGATGTCTATAAAATCATGAGGGATATGGATAGGGTGAAGAGCCAAGGTCTTTTTCCAAAATTGGAGGGCATAGGTTGAGGTGAGAGGGGAAAGATATAAAAAGGACGTAAGGAGCAACATTTTCATGCAGAGGGTGGTGAATGTATGGAATAAGCTGCCTGAGGAAGTGGTGGAGGGGGTACAATTACAACATTTAAAAGGCATCTGAATGGGTACATAAACTGGAAGAGTTTAGAGGGATATGGGCCGAATGCTGGCAAATGGGACTAGATTAATTTAGGAAATCTGGTCAGCATGGATGAGGTGAACCAAAGGGGCTGTTTCTGTGCTGTACAGATCTATGACTCTATGACTCTATGAGATGTGCGAGGCAAGTTTTTTTACACAGAGGCTATTCGGTGCCTGGAACATGCTGTCAGGGGAGGTGGTAGAAGTAGATATTGATAGCCACACTTAAGAGGCATTTAGGCAGAGACATGAGCAGGCAGACAGGATTAATTTAGAATGGCACCATGGTCAGCACAGGCATGGCGAGCCAAAGGGCCTGTTCCTGCGCTGTACTATTCTATGTCCTAAGCACCTGTACAAAATGGATTCAGCTTCTTGCTGTTAGAGCTCTACTTTCCCCATTCCTGACATGCTTCTTTTTCTCTTTGTGACGTTCTCTGTAGGTTAGTGAAGGATCCTGAGACAGCCAGTCACGTCGAAGATGCCAAAACTCTAACAAAAGGGAAGTAAGAAACTTGTGATTTTATAAATTGTTTTAGCCATAAATGGTGAACTTTGTTGGATTCTAATTCAATACAATGTAGTGAGCAGGTACAGTGATTTATTTCATAATGAATCATAGACTTCATTCATTCCTTAAATATGATATGATTAGGATGCCAGAGACAGTAGTGTGCTGTGGTGTGGGACCTCCAGTGTGATCAAGAGCAAACAGATCTAAATAATTATGACAGTTCAAATAGCCCAGTTTATGAGGTGATGGCTGAACTACAGACACTGCAACACATCAGAGAGTGGGAAAGCTGACACACTGTTTGCCAGATAGCAATTTCTGATTTGGTAACTGGTCAGGGAAAGGAGGGTGTGAGTGCAAGTGAGGCAGGTAAGTGGACCCAAAGGGTAGGAATGCAGCTAAAGTGGGTGCTGGGCACTGGGAGCAGTCCTAGGGAAATTGGGGACTGTATGCTGGGACAGTCTACAACTGAACCATGCTGGAACAAGCTTTCCAGCATCACACAGAATTAGAAAGGCAAGGAGGATTTTGAGAAGAGGCGAGGAAAGAGAGAAGGTTATTAGTATGGGAAATGATAAAAATACATGAAGGGATAAAGAACACAAATCTAGGAGGAAATCAGCAGATAAGGCTGGACGTTACAAAAATACAAAAAGGCCATAACTAAAGACAAAACAAAATAGATGAACTGATAGCCCAAATAGAAATAACCATTAGAGAGAAATAACTGCAGGATGACATACATTGGGACCTGAATAGTGAAGGATAAATATAATTAAGAAAGGACAGGAAGCTGCGAAAAGGTGAACAGGGGGCTTTGTGAATTAACAGTGGCATTCGCAGCATAGGGATAGATAGAGATGAAGTAAGTTCATGAAACCAAGATGCATAGCGGTAAGAAACGATCATGATAGGACTCACTTGTAGGAGTGGTATACAGACCCCCCGAACAGTCTCCACACGGCAGAATGGAACATAAAGGAAAATATAACGGGAGCTTGTCAGAAATAACAATAATCGTGGTGGATTTTAATCTACATTCAGCCTGCAAAAATCAGATGGGCAAAGTTAAACCAAGGTAAGGAATTCATAGAATATTTTTGGGACAGTTTCTGGTACAGCATATCTGGGAGTCAGCAGATTATATTGGACCTGATATTGTGCAATGACATTGAATTAACTAATGACCTCATAGCGATGGTGCCATACGTTAGTGACAATAATATAATTGAACTTTACATTCAAGTTGATGGTTAGAAGAATGGATCCAAGATTATTATTTTAACCTTAGATGTGGTGAGGGCATGAAAACAGAGTTGGACAAAGTGAACTGGCAAATTAGTTTACAGGATAAATCAACAGAGAGGCAGTGGCAGATATTTAAGGGTACATTTCAGAGCACAAAGCATTTTCCAATGAGAAAGAAAAAATTTATTCGGAGGATTTACCTCCCTGTGGTTACTTTAAAAAGTTAAGGATAGTATCAAACTTAAAGAAAAAAACATGCAATTGCATAAAAATAGCAAGCAGGTCAGCAGATTAGGAAGAATATGAAATAGCAAAACATGACTAAAATATTAACAAGGATGGAGAAATTAGAGTGTGAAGTAAATCTTGCGATAAATATTAAAACCATTTCTATAGATAGTTTTTGTAGATAGTTTAAAAGGAAAGTTGAACAACGTGAATATTGGTCCATTAGAAACTGAGTGTGAGGAATTAATAGTGGAAAATAAGGAAATGGTAAATGAATTGAACATGCATTTTGTATTTGTCTTCACTATTGAGGTAAGAACTAACAGCCCAGAAAGAAATGTAAATCAGGGAGTATATGACAATCAAGACGGTCTCTTGAATTGTGGAGCAACCATGAAAGGCCAAGTGGCCTATTTCTGCTTCTAATTCATACTTCAGTATACCATTCGGTGGTGATTATTCTGCTAATTTTACTGCAAATATTTCTTTCTTTCTTCTAACACTTTCTTCTTGTTAGCCTGGAATGTCTGTCAGCATAATGCAAAACCTCATCTGTTCTTCCATTAAATCTAGCTGATAATTGACGATCTCAGATCTTTTGCACATGACACTATCTTCCTTAAGAGTAACTTCTCTCTCAGCAGATGTGCTCTCATGGCAAGATCTCTAATGCCTAAAAAATCTACATCTGATAAAATCACCTTTCAGTTGTCCAAACTCAGAAGTTTCAGTAAGACCTATCAGTGAGGTTACATACCAATCAATGGTTTCCTCATACATTGAGGTCTGATGTTGAATACATACTTATCCTAAGGAACATCAAATGGATTTCAATGCTTGTGTTCAAAGCTCTCAAAATTTCTGCGGTCTGGCTTTTCTGCTGCTCAGTGAGATTGAGATTTCAATGCAGCTTGCAGCACTATTTCCCCAGCACTGGCAGCAGGGTTGGCACTCTTATTTGTTCATGTTTTTGAATTAATTCTGCAGCTTTACATAGCCTTGCCATTGAAAAATGGGAAAAAAATGTCCAATTCTGTCTTATATCTCCTTTCACTTCCACAGGACCAGAGGCTGGAATTTGCACAACCATTTTGAATTATACAATATTTTAAAGTTGCATTTTTGTTTGAATTATTCCTTGTTATTCCTTTCATAGCTGGCTCTTTTATAGCTCTGAATACCCACACATTTTCAGCTGGACATTTCACAGCAGCTGTCTCACTCTTACCACTCTAAAATCTCACACAGTTTCATTTGCACCAATCCTAACACCATGTTTTAAGTAATCTGTATTTTACAGTTGCCACTGACTGCTCTCAAAGGCACTTACACGGTGAGTGAGGCCACATGACTATTGCAAGGCAGGCAGCACTTGACGCAGAATTACATTTCTCCAAGCAGGCAACATCTACAGGCAGCACGGTTAGCACTGCCACCTCACAGTGCCAGGACCTGGGGTTTGATTCCACCCACACATCTCTGTGTGGAGTTTGCATAGTCTGCCTGAGGCTGCTTCGGTTTCCTTTGGGCGCTCTGATTTCCTCCCATAGTCCAAAGATGTACAAGTTAGGTAGATTGGCCATGCTAAATTGTCCTGTAGTGTCCAGGGACATGCAGATTAGTTGGATTAGCCGTGGGAAATGTTGGGTTATTGGGATAAGATGGGGGTGCTGGGTCTGGATGGGATGGTCTTTGGAGGATTGGTGTGGAATAAATGGCCTGCTTCCACACTGTAACGTTTCTAAGATGATGGTAAGTGAAGAGACAATAGTAAGTAATTGATTCATAGGACTTTGACTCCAAAATGCTACCCATTATATAAAGCAAAATTTAAATGTTTTGCTTCATAACATATCATCTTGTTTGTTTCTTTTATCTGCTTAAAAATGCTTAAAAACCAGGTTAACTCACCATAATTATAGACTTACTCGTTCTAATGTATAGTATTCTCTAAATAGATATTACGCACACGTCAAGTATCCAAGGGAGGGCGAAACCATTTAGCTCAACTACAATCACCTTGTGAGTTTGGAACAAAAACAGAAGTTGCTGGAAAAGCTCAGCAGGTCTGGCAGCATCTGTGAAGAAAAAAAATCAGAGTTAACATTTCAGGTCCGGTGACCCTTCCTCAGAACTGCTGAGCTTTTCCAACAACTTCTGTTTTTGTTCCTGATTTACAGCATCCACAGTTCTTTTGGTTTTTATTCACCTTGTAAGTTTATCCGAATAGAGTTGACAAATTTTTTTTTGTAGGAGAATTTAGAAGCTCCTGATTCAAATTTTCTTTGTACTGGTCAAATTTTGAGTATATCAATGAAATATTTTGACGGCCCTTTTGAGTCTGACCTGGGATGAGGTGTAACATATGCCAGTTCACATGACCTTGTAGCACTTTGCAGGATCCACCGCACTCACACAATTATGGAGTGTGCTCATATCTTTAAGAGTTATCTGAAAAGAGTTTTCCGAAATGGAAGCATGGTTGCTACTTGGTTATGCCAGCTTAAAGAATTGCAAATTTAAAGAATCCTCATTTGTTCTAGAAATATATTCTGTCCATTAATCTGGAGAATGTAACCTGCATAAAGCAATTTATATCTTTTGTATTTTGAACTGTCAGGTGTTGCGTTAGATATTCTATATTAAACAATTGCCTTTGTTTAAGGCCAATTGTTAGTCCGGGAATATGTCAATTCAAAGCTGCAGAGTGGAAAAGATTAGTGTGGATGCAGCTTACTCAGGCAAAATGAAGAAACTTATGCAGAATATGTTTGAACCACAGCAATTGGCACATACTTCATAGATTTATAAGATTTATATAATCTACAGCTATTTGCAACAGGCAACATATTGACTACGCTCAACCAGCCTGTGCTTGCAAAATTTAGAATGTTGCATCAAATATTAGATGTAATTTCACAATTGGACAACACTTATGAAGAAATTCTGATTGCTCTAAGTATTACCCTAATACCCAATTTAATATTATCAGACAGACTCACAATATGGTCCACTTACACGTGCTGGCGATATATATATTCCCATGCAGGTTCCCTGGGAGCGCAAACAGAAATAAACATGTCCATACATTGTGTCTGGGGCAATCATTTCCTGGTGCATTCCCCATGGCACTGGAGCTGACATGCCTGCATTGAATTTAAAAAAACTTGGAAGTTATCTGTTCTTTGGTAAATTGTCCACAACAATACCTCAAATAATCAGGATTCTCTTGTCAACCATTCAGCACCCTGCTCTCATGCAGTAAAAAATGTTGTTCCCTTTGAAATTCCTGCAACTCTGACCTGTTTAGTGCAAGATGAAAAGCTTCAAGGGCATATCTTTTTTTCTCAGTAATACTCAAGTTCTTTATTCATAACAATTCACACAATTAATATCAATGGTTTCTACCGCAATTTTTAACGACTATGAAATGGATTGTCGTGATTTTCACTAAAAATATAGATCTTTCTCTCATAGATGGGATTTTGTAAACAAGCAATATATCGGTGAT